GGGGCCGGGCCCCCCCCCCCGCCCCGCCAAGGAGGGGCCAGGACAGGGGAGGGCGCCGGGGACAGGTGGCGCGGGGATCTCCTCCCAGGGGGCACAGGACACGAACGAGACCCCCGGTTTCCAGCGCCCGTCACCACAGGGGCAGGTCCGTTTCCCGAGGGAAGAGCGAGCGAAGCCGTCAGTCAGACAGGGTCTTAGGGGAGTCCCAGCCAGCTCGGGAGCAAGGAGGGCTTCTTGCAGGAGGGGGCCTGCTGAGTGTCCCCACCTGCCCCGCCCCGTGTGGAGTGTCCATGCCCCACCCCCCGAGGCCAGCTCAGACCATCTCCTTGTCTTTCCAGGCACCTTCCCCAGCCCAGGTATCTGCCCCCCGCCCTGCATGTCTTAGCCCCCCGCTTCGGCCAGCCAGTGCACGGGGCTACGGGCTGGCCTGGCTCCGTTGCTCCGTTGCTCCGGGCTCTGTTGCTGCCATGGGGACGGGTGGACGTTGCAGGCTGGTGCCGGGCCTGCTGGGGTCCATCGCGGGGTGGGCCCAGGATGGCTGGGGGGTGGGCGCCAGGCATCAGCGGGAGGGAGGATCCGCTGGCTCACCTGCCTGGTGTCCGTGTTGCCGTCTCCAAGCTTGGGTTCGTCCCTCCACCTGGCTGCCTGCATGGCTGGAGCTCTGCTGCGTCCTGGGGCACCTGCCAATCTGTGGCCGCTCCCCGTCCCCGTCCCCGGCACTGGCCTGCCCCGCCCGGCTGTTTGCATCTTTGGCTTTGTGAGCTGAGCCAAGCTCTCTAGTGACTGCACGCCAGCCCAGGGAGCATGAGGGTCCCGGGGAGGGGTCGGCTCCCAGCAGCCCCTGCTCTCCCAGGCCCTGGGCCTTCTGGCTCGGGCCACCATAGCTCTTGCCACCCTGGCCACGCCTGTGCAGGGTGCTGTGGCCCAGGAGTGTGTCTGTGTGCGGTGGGGACAGCTGTGCTTTCACTTGGTGCTCAGCCGACACCGATAAGCTCTAACGGGGTGACTGCAGGCAGCATTTAGTGCAGGCAGAACCGTTGGAGGACGCATGACCCCCGCCCCAGGTCGTGGCCATCAACCTCAGATGGACCAGAGGTCCGGCAGAGCCCAGACAGCAGGCGGTGGCCACTGGCCCCTTGGAGGACGAGGAGGGAGGGACTCTGGGCCTGGTGACCGGGGCCAGCTCATGCCCGGAACGAGAGAGAGAGAGAGCGCAGGGGGTAGGCCAGCCTGCCCTGTGGCGGCTGGGGTCGGGGATGGACTGACCCTGCCGCCCGGGAAGGCCCTTGTCTGCTCAGGCTTCCTCGTCAGGGCGTTTGCACTGGTGTTTGTCAGCCCAGGAGGGCCGACGACAAAGCCCGGCTTGGGAGCCCCTGGCAGGGTGGGGACTGAGCGGGACCCCAGGGCAGGGCCCAGGTGGGGTCTCGGCTGCCAGGCTCACTCCTAGGCCCTGCCCTGGGGTTGGGGCCCCCTGATCAGATGGGCGACGTGCTCCTGAGACCCAGTCCCCCAGGCCTCCCCTCCCGTGGTTCCAGCCGGCAGCAGGAGCCACTTCTTGCCCCAAATGGTGCCCCCTTTCTGGGGAGAAACTCTCCCCCAGGCTCGCGCAAACCCCCATGTCTGAGCCCAAGGCCCTTCCCCAGCAGCTTGCACACCGCAGCTTCCGAGCAGACGAACGGGGCCATCTTGGTGCCGCGGGGCGCAGGCAGCCCCCTGCCCAGCTCACGGCACCCTCTCCCTGCAGAGGCCCAGCGCCGGCCCTACTATGCGGACTACTCGCCCACCCGCCGGTCCATCCACTCGCTGTGCACCAGCCACTACCTTGACCTCTTCATCACCTTCATCATCGGGGTCAATGTCATCACCATGTCCATGGAACACTACAACCAGCCCAAGGTGGGGCTCAGTGCCTGGAGACTCTCGCTCCCCCCGCCCCCCACCGCCGTCCGCAGGACCAGTGGCGAGGACGCAAGCCCTGGGAGGGCCGTTGGTGGGGTCTGACGCTCAGCGGGGTGGACCTGGTCAGAGCCGGGGGCGGGGGTCCCACGTCTGCAGACTTTCCCAAGCCCTCGCTGGGGTTGGTGGGGTACGTGAAGCTATGGTTTGAGCAAAGCGTCCTTGTTTTCCTTTTTTTAGAGCTGGTTGAACCTCCCTGGGCCGTGTGCCCTGGGGGGCCCTCCCCCTCTACCTCCATGGTGCCATCTGCGAACGAGGAGGGCCCTCCCCCCAGTAGTGCTGTCTGTGGGAACATCCAGCTGCCCAGGCATCAGCTGGGCAGGGGACGGGCAGGGGGAAGGCAGTCGGCTTTTTATTTCGCCCTGATGTGGTCTGCGTCCCCATTTCATCAAAGAAAGGACATCCCTCTTTCTCCTTCAGAGGAAGGGACGAGAACAACAGAGCCTCCCACCCTGAACCTCCGTGGCTTTCCTTGAAGCCACGCCGGGTGTGGCATGGCCACGTCCTGGGATGTGGGCAGGGGTCCACTTGAGGCTGGGCCAGGGGTCTGGGCTTGGGAGGGACCGGTGCCCTCGTCCCAGAGGCTGTCCACGCCGCCAGACCAGGCACTGCCCTGCATACAAGGGCTTGTTGGCCAGGCCCGAGGGACGAGGGTCTGCTGGGGCGGAGGGGGGTGGGGCTGGCACACAGGCACCTCGGGCTGGCCCTGCAGCCTGACGCTCTCTTCACAGTCGCTGGACGAGGCCCTGAAGTACTGCAACTACGTGTTCACCATCGTCTTTGTCTTTGAGGCCGTGCTGAAGCTGGTGGCTTTTGGGTTCCGGAGGTTCTTCAAGGACAGGTGTGTGGGGCGGGCCCCGGGGCCTGGAGGACCCTTGGGGCACGGGCGGGTGAGAGCCACAGCCCTGCGCCCCGTGGTCCCGGCCCGAGGCCCGACGACGCGGTCCTGCCGAGTAGCGGTGCGGGACGCAGCCGGGGCGCCGGAAGGAGGCCCTGAGCCCGCCCGCCTCCTGCCCCAGGTGGAACCAGCTGGACCTGGCCATAGTGCTGCTGTCCATCATGGGCATCACGCTGGAGGAGATCGAGATGAACGCGGCCCTGCCCATCAACCCCACCATCATCCGCATCATGCGTGTGCTCCGCATCGCCCGCGGTAGGCCGCCCGCCTGTCCCGCCCGGGGACCCCTGCTCGTGGCCTCCGAGGCCCCGGGCCCAGCATCCTTCCTCGGCTCGCCCTGCGGCGTCCCCCTGGGCTCGGTCCGGGGGCCGGGGAGCGTAAGGGATGGGGGTGGCCCCGGGGTCTCCGGCAGCAGGGGAGGGTCAGACTGGCCCAGGCCCCACGCCCCCCACTGATGCTCGGCTCCTGGCCCTAGTGCTGAAACTGCTCAAGATGGCCACAGGCATGCGGGCCCTGCTGGACACGGTGGTTCAAGCCCTGCCCCAGGTAGGTCACAGCTCCTCGACCCGGGGCCCGGGTCCGTGTCACGGCCCCGAGGTGGGCATTACAGCCGCCCCCAAGACCACGAGACGCAGCGGGGGGGGGGGGGGCTCACTCGATGCGATTCATTCGCTAACACGGTCATCGGTCTTGCAAAAGCCACGGTAACCGCCCCACGTGTGCAGGGAACGCCTCTGCTGTGCTGGCAGAGAGGAGGGCCGTGTCTCTCTGGGCCTCGGTTCCTCTGGGAAAGACTGGAGACCAGGGCGCACCTCCCCCAGTCCGATTCTGGATGCAGTGGGCAGAGGATGTGGACCAGAAGGACTTGTCTGAGTTCAGAGGACTGCACCCAGCGCGTCTGTCCACCCCTGTGTCCTTCTGTCCGTACGTCCACCTCTCCACCAGCCATCCATCCGTCTGTCCGTCCGTGTCTTTCTCTCCATACATCCAACTCTCCACCAGCTGTCCGTCTGTCCATCCACCCATGTCCTTCTGTCCATACATCCAACTCTCCGCCAGCCGTCCATCCATCCACCCGCTCCTGTGTCCTTCTGTCCGTACATCCAACTCTCCGCCAAGTGTCCATCCATCCGTCCACCCCTGTGTCCTTTTTGTCCGTTAATCGAACTCTCCTACCAATTGTCCGTCCATCTGTCCATCCGTGTCTTTCTGTCCATACATCCAACTCTCCCACCAGCCATCTCTCCACCTGTGTCCTTCTGTCCATCTGCAGCCCTCCCACCACCTATCTGTCCGTCCACCTCTGGGTCCTTCTGTCCATGTCCAGCCCTCCCACCAGCTATCTGTCCGTCCACCCCTGTGTCCTTCTGTCCATGTCCAGCTCTCCCAGCCAGCTGTCCGTCTGCTAGCCCAGCGCGTTCCTGTCCAGCCGCTCACTCACCCCCCACAGCCCCTCCTCTCCGGCCATCTGCACACCACACACCCCCTCCCACCTTCGGCCAGCCCCCTCCTGTCCCCTCTGCGGCCCCTGAGGCCCGTGCCAGCAGGAGTGATGGGGGGAAGGGGTGGAGGAGTCAGGGGGATGGGTGCCACAGAAGGAGCAGCACGGGTCACAGGACGCCAGGGCACCCTGCCGAATGCGGCATGTGCCAGGGCCGGGCAGGGGGCAGGACGCCCTAGGTCTGCATAGCCAGCCCCCAGTGGGGTCCCTGAGGCTGGAGGTGGCCTGGGGCTCTGAGGAGCAGAGGAGCAGGGGGCGGTGGGGCCCGGGGTGCAGGGTGGGTGTGAGGAACTGAACCGAGGAGGGACCGAGGTGGGGGTGCTGGCAGAGGGGCCCCCGGGGGCCACAGAGCTCCAGGGCCTGAAGGGACGGGTGGAGAACGGGGCTCGAAGGCAGTGTCGGGAGCCTGGCCAGGAGTGTGGGTGAGGGCGGCGAGGTGGGGCGCCGAGAGCCCAGCGGGTGGGGGCTGAGGCTGCCCCTGACCTCACTCTGCTTCTCTCTTCGTGTAGGTAGGGAACCTCGGCCTACTTTTCATGCTCCTGTTTTTTATCTATGCTGCCCTGGGGGTGGAGCTGTTCGGGAGGCTCGGTGAGTGTGCGCAGCCTCGCCCACGCGCATGCGGCCCCCGGGCACCGGGTGCCCGCCCGCCACACACCGGCCACCCGCCTCCTGCCCCATCTGTGTCCTCACCCAGCCGCCGCCCCCATCAGCCCTCACTGCCCAAGACCCGCCCGTGCATCGGCCTCACACAGGGGCATCCGCGCATTCGCAGGAGTGTGGTGCCAGACCCCTGACACGCGTGCACACACGGATGTGCGCGGATACACACGCGTTCACGCCTAGCCAGGAGGACAGGGCCATACGTGAGCGTGAGGAAGTGTGCGCGTGCAGATACGCACTCGCACCTGCACCCGTCTCCCCGCTTCTTGTGGTCCCTGGGATACAAACGCTGCCCCGTGTCCTTTTTAATGGTCACCGGGGATTCTTTCCACCCCCCAGGCCCGAGGCTCTGGCCAGCGTGGGCAGGGAGCAGGTGGGGACTTTCCAGGACAGCCCAGTCCCTTGGGATCTCCTCAAAAACACCCGATGTCACTGAGCGCTTAGTGGCTGCCGGCAGCCGCCAGCGTGGACTTGTCTATGAGGCCGCGGAGGTGGCTGTCACAGCTCAGGGTCTGCCCAGAGGGGATCCTGGGACTCGGCAGCTGGTGCCCCAGACCCCAGCCCCCTATTCGGGGTGCTTCCTATGCCCCACGACAAGGCAGCCGTGTCCGTCCTGGCCCTGGGGCCCGAGGGCATGCTGACCTGAGAGGCAGCCCTGGGGAGCAGGGGTGCCCTCTGCTGGGGCTCAGCCAGAGCCGGCTGCCACGGAGGGCTTGGCCTGTGTACCCGCAGAGACCGTGTCCACCTGGAAAGTCTCACATGCCAGGGTGGGGCTCCAGGCAGCCCTGTTCCCCTCCCCCGGCCTTGAAAGGGCACGGCCCCCACAGAGGCCAGCACCCACCTGCCAGGGCCCCCAAGCTGCGCGTGGGTCCTTTTCCCCAAGAGAGCGCGATCTGCTCCCTGGGGGAGGGCAGGGCTCTCGGTTGGGTCCGGCGTGGCCCTGTGTGGCCTCGGGGCCCAGGGTATACACCGCCCAGCAGAGCCCTCGGGCTGACCGAGCGAGGGTCTCCCCGGCAGAGTGCAGTGACGACAACCCCTGCGAGGGCCTGAGCCGGCATGCCACCTTCTCCAACTTCGGCATGGCTTTCCTCACGCTGTTCCGCGTGTCCACGGGGGACAACTGGAACGGGATCATGAAGGTAGCGCCTGAGCCGTCGTGGGGGGCGGGGCGCCCAGGGTGCGGGGGGGGG